CCAAGGACTCTATTCGGACCTTATGATATAGCGCAAGAGTACATACAAATATCTCAGCTAAGAGAGCATAGACGACTCTTGCCTCCGTGCAGAACGGCTCAGCAGGAAATAGCTATAAAATTGCGCTCAGAGAGTATATGAAAAGACATTAATGTGGGTGAAAGGCACATTTTGTCACACATGACTCAGCACATTTCAATATAATAAAGAAACCGATCAAATCTAAACCACAGGAAACAGAAACATGAAAGAGGGGGCCGTTGAGAATGCATGGGCATTCTGCGGAAAAATCCCAGCTTGTTGTCAGTTGAATAGCTGGAAAATTCCCGGAAGCGGCAGCTTATCTCTTCGCAGAGCGCTGTGTCAAATGCATGAAGTGAAAGCTATTCCAGGAAAGCTAAAACTCATGCATTTTTGAAGGGAATTTCGAGCATTGAGTACATAAGAGGAACAAAATGAACATTGAGCTCAGATGGTGCAGGCTGCAAGCAGAAATTTCATTAAAAAGAATCCAAATATGGCGAAATGACGTTTCCTTTCATTTCTGGCACGGAATATTTAATTTGAAAATCGTTTTTTCTTCGGAGGTTCTTGATTAAGGAAATAGGTAAGTCTTCTGTAGAGTTAGCTGCAATGGTGGTGTAATGGTGAGTCTCGCACTATCATTAACACATGGTCACAGGTTCGAAAACCAAACGATACTTGTCCATGCCAACTGAGCCTTCGATCCCTCCATGTCGAACAATTGGCACCAGACTCGCCTGGGAGGGTAGAAGCACCAAGTTACNTACGCCTCGGTTGGACACTGCAAGTCACTGTACAGGTTACTTACCCATATGAAACGCCACTAGGATCCTGAATGGAAGTCGAAGGCGGGTCCTGACCTCAAAAACGTCATTGGTTATTGTCGAACTCTTTATCCTTTTTACCATTGGACATGACTGAAGTCCAGTCCACCAGGTCCAAGGTTGGCAGCGCCTGGCTGAGCAGCAAGTGTTATGCACCCTGCCCGAGGTTTCTTCTGGGTTGCCATATCACAGCTGAGATATTCTGGCGATATTTTTTTCCCAACATACACCATTAAAGGTGAATGGTCGCCAAAAAGAGTATGGTCTGATAACAATTACTGACAGAATCTCGTTCGAATAAAAACATATGGCTTATCAGAGTACGAAGAACCCAGATTGGACGCGGAACGGGTCCATATTTGCAGAGGGACATAAAAGGGGAAACCAAAAATGTGGGCGAAAGCCATTTCCCACAGATGGCTCCTTTTAAGCATCAGTTTGTTTGTAATCTTAACCGTAGAGAGACTTACATGTGTACCTTCCTTTGATGACTTGCTTAGGCCAGGCAATGATCAATTCAGTGACAGGCAGTGCCAGTGCAGGGCTTGAAGAAATGAGGAAAACCTTTGGTAGGTTTGAACTCGCCAGGTGGTACTGTCCCCCGTTCCCCCCTCTTCCGTTCTTAAGAAAAAGAGAAAAAGACTAAGAAGGCTGAAAGAAAAGTCTAGAACAAAGAAGGAAGGGCAAATTTGATTGCAAAAGAATGGAAGGAAGTCGCCAGTCTTCAAAAAAGTACATCAAAAAAGGTGTAATAGCCATCGCAGAGCAATTGAAGGCTAGAAGGCGAGAAGAATTGAGAAAGTTGTGCGAGCCTAGAAAAGCTACTTATAGTGACAGATGAATAAAAAACGAATAAGGTGAATGAGGTATGGGCTACATAAATCCCCAGGGAAAGTAGCCGGTTATGGGCTTCGAAGGACTATTAAAGCGAAAGGGGAGAAGGTGGGGGGTGCAGGGCAATGATCGTACTATGAACGATATTGGCAAGTGTCCCACCACCAGGGAAGCCTTCCATAACTGTGGACTCGGTTGATTGATAAAGTCTCGTCTGTGAGTTCAAAAGGGCCAACTTGTACATCGTCCGGCTACCGCAAGTCATTGCTGGGCCAGACACACGTGCAAACCACCACTACGAAATTGAATGGAAGTTGAATACGCGGCGCAGCCCAAATATTCAGTTGTGAAAATCGCTCTGTAGCATTATGGCTGTGGATGTGAGTGTTTCGTTGCGTTTTGTGTGTGTGTGTCGGTCTGTGTATCGGTGTGTGTGTGTTTGGGTGTGTGAGTGTCGGTATGTGAGGTGTGTAGGTGCATGCGTGTGTCCTCGTGTGAGTATGCATCTGTGGGTGGGTGGGTGGGTGTGTGTGGATGCTAAAAGTCGTAAATCTTTGCATATATACACCTAAAAATCACCATTACATATCTTCATTTCTCTTTATATTCTACTGATGAGCACTGAGTGGGAGTGCTCCCTAGCTCTTTTTCCGTGTGGGGATCTTCTTCTCCACACGCGAAACGGGAGTTATACCCCTGCAATAAGTTTCCCAATCTTTCCGATATATTGAATTGATTGTTATTTATAATTAAATATTTCATTCGGCATAGTTATAGTTTGGTTTACCGAGAACTATTGATCAGCATCATGTAGTGCTGTAATACAGGAAAGGAGGTTACCAGACCATAGATGGGCATTACAAAAATTCCCAGAACAGAGAAGAATCAGATGTGGGCCGGGCTATTCGTTGGGTCGAAGTTAAATTTTTTTGGTGTAGAACAAATACCAGGACCAACATATGGAAGACCACATATAAAATGTAGAACATAAAGAAAGCTCATTGTAAGTGAAATTCATGAATAAAGAAGAATCAATAGTGTCAGAAAATAAAACTTATACAATATCAACTGCATCGATCATAAAAGTAAAAGTTCATAAATGAGTTAGGCAGTAATCATTGAGTGCATGTGGAAAGTGTCATTGGCGAACGTGGCGCAGATCTTCTTCTCCACTATCAGTTGCGCGATCGATATTGCCGTCCCGAACGACCTCAAACCAATACCATCGCTCATCATCGATACCAGTTTTCGGGTATTGTTGTTGTGAAGGGGCGAGAATCCCAAAGCGCATCGCAGAGGCGATTTTCGGGCGTTTGTAATGTCGCTCAATTGAAGCTGAACCTACAAGTTTTTCTCACGAAATTGGAAATAAACAAGAACGACACTCTGAAAGAAAAGCCTGTTTGCGCCCTATTGGAATCGATGTTCAAAAAAGGAGCTTGTATGGGGGTTAGCATGATTACTTGAAAATAAACAGTTATGTTCAGCTATAATTGAGCGGTATTACAAACACCCAAAAAGCGCCTTTGCGATGCCCTTTAGGGCTCTTGCAGTTGTGACCCTTCTAAGGTTCGTATAAAAATTTCTACAAAGTAAAGTAACTACAATAAAGTCTACTGGTAGAATTTCATTCAGATGCTGTATTCATGCAGTTCAATCATTGGAACTAGAAGCAACATCGAAACGATGCTCGATAATTGTGAGTTTTACTTCTTAAGCTGTGCAAACCGAGATATCTACTCTCATGGCTCGAGAAAAGCCATAAAAGCGTGAATTCGTTTTTTCCATTGGTCCTCCGTAGTTTAGTTGAGTCTACAGTTTCACGTTTACAATGAAGGCTATGTTCATATATCAAGTCGGCTCGCCGAGCTCAATTTGAGGAGTTTAGCATGCTTACGGTGATATACAGCAACGTTGCCTTCTAAAAAATTCATAAACTATTCAGGCTGTACCTGTGGCTATTTGTAAAAGAGTTCTGCATCTTGAAGTTCGACTTTCAACAAACCTTGGTATGATTTCAGGAAGTCTTTGGTAAGCTCAGGAACTCAGTATATCCACCATCGGTGAGAACTTCTCGAGCTACCTCACACTGGTACTATTGATATTAGCGATTATTATTTTTAGCATGGTTTTACCACTTTACTATCACCACATGGAGTACATATACATGTGTAAATAGTATTGCGGATTCGTCATCGTAATGAATTCCAAACGGTTCACTCTTCTCTCAGACATCAGGGCCTGCTTCGCATATCTCATTTGGGTACTATTCCACTATTACAACCCCAAAAACTCAACTTTAATTTTCGATGAAACTTCGTCTATAGAGGTAATCCGAGGGTACGGGAATATTTTTTCGATCGCACCTAATCAAGCTCGCCTCGCACCTAGGCGCG